TGTGCCTTGACTATTTCAAAGTGGGGTCTTGAAGCATTTGTCCACTAGCGTTCATAGCAGCGTTGTTCACACAGGTGCTTGCTTCCACAATTTCATGGAAACAACCCAACTGCCCATCAGTAGATGAGTAAGGACAATATGATGTATACTTTACAATAGAGCAGTGCTTCTCAACCTTCCTAACAGTGCAACCCTTTAATACAGTTCCTCATGTTATGGTGACCCCCAACCATAACATTATTTTTGTTGCTACATCATAACTATAATTTTGCTACTGTTATGAACCGTAATGCAAATATCTGGTATACAGGATATCTGTTATGCGATTCCTGTGGAAAGGGTTGCTCGGCCTCAAAGGGGTCACAACCCACAGAATGAGAACCAATGCAATAGGCTATTATTCAGCTTTAAGAAAGTTCTGGCACATGATACAAAATAGCTAAGACCTGAGGCCATGGTACTTGAAGGGTTCACAACACGCCTCCCCCCCCCCCACGGTCGCATTTACCAGGCAGACACTTCCGCCTAGCCAATTCCGTTCAGGCCGGACACCTCCGCCTAGCAAGTTTCGGCCAAGGCATCTCGAGTGACCAGAATCCGTGACGTTACATGGCTACGTAAGCGCGCAACATGACCATGTGATCTACGCACATGCGTGGAGTAGTGACGTGACCTGGCCACGCCCCCAGCCAGTTTTTAAAGCGGAGTGCCATATTCCCTGGTTCTCTCTTCTTCTTCTTCTCTCCTCTCCTCTTCTCCACGCACTGTCTCTCCCACAGGCCTGCGCACTCTCTATCCCTGTATTTCTAATAAACTCTTCTAAGCGGATTCTGTCGTGTTTCGTGACGTTTCCTTGCAGGGTAAGAACACAACGCAGCTAAATAACTAACAGTACTAAGTGAAATAATTGAGTTACAGGGCTGTATGATTCCACGTATTAGTCAGAAGTACAGAGATAGAAAGTAGAGGGGTGGTTGCCAGGTGCTGATGGGGAGATCGAAGGAGGGCTGTTTAATAGGTGAGAGGGTTCACTTTTGCAAGATGAAAAGGCCTGGAGATGGATGGTGGTGATAGTGCGCAATATCATGTACTGAATACCGTGGGGCCATGCATATAAAGAGGGTGAAGATGACAGTCCAGAGACAATCAGAGAGGCAGGTACAGTGGCACCGACCTGTAATCCCAGCAGTTCAGAGGCTAAGGAAGATGTCAAGTTCCAGACTAGCCAGCAGTATACAGGAAGACCCTGGAAAAGGAGTGTATGGAGGAGAAGGAAAAGAAGAAAAACAAAAGGGAAAAAGATTCCAGATGAGGAAACAGGAGGTGGAGAGCCACAAAGCTGATGTGGGGGGACATGGTTCCCAGCTCTGTGTGGCTGTGGCTGGTTATGATCGGCCCCTCTCAATTGCTTCCTTTTCTTTCTCAATTCTCATCTTCTCTTCTGCATTCCTGCACAGTCAGCCATGCTTCTCTGAGATCTAAAATTCCAAGTGGAGAGCTGGGTATGGTGGTGCGTGCCTCTGATTCCAGCACTCAGGAGGCAGAGGCAGGCAGGTATCTAGGAGTTCAAGGCCAACCTGGTCTACACTTTGAGTTCCAGGCCAGTCGGGGCTGTATAATGAGACCCTGTCTCAAAGTAAATAAATAAATAATAAAGTAAAATTCCAAGTTGGGTGTAGTGATTATAAGGGAAAAAGAAAGAAAAAGAAGTTGCTAGCCAACCATGAGAAGGGCATTGTCAAAGTCTTTTCAGTTTTGATTATCATACAGCCCTTTCTAATTAATCCCCAGGGCCTAGTAACTTTATCATATCTACACAGGGACAATGAGACAACAAATGATCTATTTGGGTTGACATTTCAGTTATTAAGAATATTTTTCCTAAATGGGCAGTTTGGGGACATGATTTTACATGAATTCCACTCCCTGAATACTCTTCATTGTAAACATAGCCTTAATGACCTGGCGATTTTTATTATTTCCAAAATGAGGGTGTTTTCTACATGGTTTGAAACCTGAGAAAAGGGATGTCTACAAGTGGTGTTTGTGACTCAACTGACTTCACGAGCTAGTATTGACCAGTCTTTAAGACCCATGTAAGTGCCTTCCCAGATGTATGAATTTTTATTTCTGTACTTCAACCTAGAATATTTTCGCCACCCCTTCTCCACACCTAATCGGGCAATTACAGCCTTGCAGCATATTTTTTCCACTCAAAAATGTGTTGGCTTTAAATTGTCACTCTTGTCCTCCACTTCTTAAGCACCAGAGGGCGCATGTCTTTAAGTCTCACTTTGTGAAGGACACAAATCCTTTGGTTTTTGCCTCCAGTGTTTGTCGTCTGGATTTGGTCCAACACAAACTTTGGGGAAACACTTAAAGGCCATTGCTAACAACCCAAAGCTTCCCTAATGGCTGCCTTGACCTGCCACTGAACACCAGGTACAGAAAGTAAAGGTATACCAAAAAAGAATGTTTAGTATTTATCTTTGATTCAAAGTTTGTAGGATTCCTCACCCACCCCATTCCCCAGGTGCTGAGGGTCAAACCCAGAGCCTCATGGGTGCTTGGCAAGCATCAAGCACCCTAGGTACAAATGTTTGGAATTTTTTTTTAACTATTTTTTGGGGGGTATTTTTATTTTGTTTTTGCTTTGATATGGGGGGTGGTGTGGTGGGGGGAGACAAGATCTTACCATATAGCTTTGGCTATCCTGGAACTTGCTATTTATACCAGGCTGATCTTTAACTCACAGATCCTTATAAGTTTGGGGGGTTGTTTGTTTGTTTGTTTTGTTGTTGTTGTTGTTTTGAGACAGCCCCAACCATCCTGAAACTCACTATGGAGATATTTGGCCTAAGTGCTATTTTTTGTTTCTTTGAAAACTGTGATTAAATTTAGTTGAAGGAGCCGGGCGGTGGTGGCGCACGCCTTTAATCCCAGCACTCGGGAGGCAGAGCCAGGTGGATCTCTGTGAGTTCGAGGCCAGCCTGGGCTACCAAGTGAGTTCCAGGAAAGGCGCAAAGCTACACAGAGAAACCCTGTCTCGAAAAACCAAAAAAAAAAAAAAAAAAAAAAAATTAGTTGAAGGAGTGAGTAGGCCTCAGAGGATCAGAATGACAACTTCTGTATTCAACACAATGATCTTCGATTTTAGAGGTTTTATGTTCAGAATTCTGTCAACTGTTTCTCTATAAACAAACTTGGAAGTGATTCTCCTAGGAGGGCAGTGTTAATATGACAGTTATCATTTAAACACAAGGAGGCGTTATATCAGAGCCTGGTGCGGATGGCCTATGCCTGCCTGTAATCTCAGTCAGCACTGGGTAGGCTGAGGCACGGCAACTGAGAATTTGAGGTCAGGCAGGCCAGACACAAAATGAAGCAAAATTTTATCTCACTGAAAGTGTTACAGTCCCTTTTGGAATCCCTATCACTTTGTTGTTATTTTTGCGGGTTTTGTGATTGGAAGATAAATTAGCGTGTGTTACATACATATCATGTTACATGTAACACATTGTACTTCTCAACTATGTTAGAAACGTCTGAAGTTCCTTATTTTATTGAAGGTACAATTGTCCCAGAAATTTGTTCAATAGATTTAAAAATCCAAGATATACACCAATTTAGGAGACAATGTAGGGGTTGTGTTTTGTTTTATTTAGAATATGCAAAGGCAATCCTAAAATTTTTACTGTATGTGTGAATTTCTTTTAAGTCAAACACCTGAAAACATATTAGAGAGTGCTGAATACATGTTATATGCTGAAATTCAACTCTCCAACTCTACCCCACCGGAAATCACACCTCTTTCTCAGGTCTCAGTATTAACATGCCTCTTTAACCACATAATCAGAGTGCCTATTTATGGTGATATTTTATTTGTACTGAAATGTGATTTTATTTGTATGTTAATAAAGTTGCCTGGGGGTCAGAGCTAATAGCAAGCCATAGCAGAAGCTGGGCTGTGGTGGTGCATGTCTTTAATCCCAGCACTTGGGAGGCAGAGCTAGGCAGATTTCTGTGTGTTCAAGGATACAGCCAGTATGGAGACACATGCCTTTAATCTCAATACCAACCATAGAAGACCTGGAGGTCTGTACAGACAGGCAGTGATGAGGAGGTCATGTGGTTGGGTTTACAACCAATGAGAAGGCAGAATAGAAAGTCTATAAAAAAGACAAACAGACAGGAAGTAGCTCTCTTGCTGAGGAAGACAGCAGCAGCAGTGAAGGGTAAGGTTTTTAGCTCTTAGCTATTGCTCTGACCTCTTAGGCTTTCATCTTTGCATTGACTCTGTGTTTCTTACTTAATAAGATGGTTACATCTACACCTACTTTTTCTAATTTGCTTTCTTTTGCTGTGACAAACACCAGGACCAAAAGCAATTTGGAGGAGAAGAAACTTAGTTGACTTACAATTTCATATCACAACCCAACACTGGGTGAAATTAGGGCAAGAACTGAAGGCAGGAGTCTCATGCAGAAACCAGGGAGGACAATGCTTACTGGTTTGCTCCCAGGCTTCTTCTGTACAGGTACCTTCCTCATATGATTATATTTACTTCTGGGAATTATTTTGAGACCTGAATGAGTTATCATTTGTATTATACTCAAGTTGTTGTTTCCTCTTTAGCAGTAAACTGGATACATTTACAACAAATTATTTTACATAATGATTTAGAGTTCCAAGTTAACATTGGTTTAGAACTGAAAATCAATCATAACCAAGATGACTTCAGAGAATGTTCAATAGTAGATGGAAAATAAAACAAATATGGCATGGAAACACTCGGGAGTAACTTGAGATTGGATGGGCAAAGAATGTCCATCTGAAGAAAGCCTGAGACCTGGTGATGAGCCATTTAAATATCTGAAGCAGGATAAAGATGCCCAAGTCTTGTGGTGGGAATGAACTCGGGCTATTGGAAGAAACAGCTGGAATAGGGTGATGGGTAGATACAGAAAGAGGAGTAGGCTGGGGGCCACACTGAGAAAATATTACAGGGGAGTCTTGCGTTTCCTTGGTCTTAACTTCAGCAGTAAGTAGTCTTGCTTCCTAGGCCCCTGAAAGAGAAGAGTTCAAACAGGACACAGTAACAGAGCACACAGTCATAGTCTAAATTTGACAAATAAGGAAGAAGGAACAGATTCTTCAGAATAAGAGCAGACTTCTATTTCTCTCTTTGTCTTGCCTCAGGGTAGGCACTTCCAGGAAGGGGCGTGTTCTTGGAAGCCCATTTACCCAGAATTTAGTCAAAGTGAAGGCTTAAGAATATGTTTAAGCACATATATTAATAAGAGGTTTAAGTATTTCTGTGTTTGAAAATTTCACTAGGGGAAAGGGAATCTGACACTTGTGCTTTTCTGGCAGGTAAGCCCCTAAAACCAGTTTAAACTAACCCAGCTAGAATCAACCACTCCCAATTACTGAGCTTTGTTTTTCTTTTGTTGTTGTTGTTTTGTTTTGTTTATTTGTTTTAATCCTGTTTTTGGAGGATCTATTTGGCCAACCCTTCCCAAAGCTAACTTTCTGCCTAATAACTCACAGACCATGGGTGGGTTTTTACTTTCCTGCTGGAATTTCAAAAGCAAGATACACGCTTACCAGCCTGCCTGATGCTTTAAAGGATTCCTCAGGCTACATTCGAAGACAGAAATAATAGTAGGATAACTAGAAGCATGCACACTGTTTAGAGAGTCATGCCAACACTCCCGGTAAGGGACAATAATGGCTAGGGCACAGTGGTAGCAGTACAGAAGGTGAGAAACAGGTGCTTAAGTAGATTGCAGAAAATGAGTTTAGGTGACTTGATGAGGGGGAGATTTGGAGCACGAAGAAAGGGTCCTCGGTAAAAGCAGAAGAGCTCTTAACCACCGAGCCTCTAGCCTCGGTTCTTAGGATTTTATTTTGTTTTGTTTTTTTGATACAGGGTTTCTCTGTGTAGCCTTGGCTGTTCTGGAACTCACTCTGTAGACCAAGCTGGCCTAGAACTGACAGAGATCTGCCTGCCCCTGCCTCCTGAGTGCTGGAATTAAAGGCACATGCCACCACACCTGGCTGGTTTTACAGCCTTAGATAAGAAGACTTCACTAGGAAAAGTTAAATAGACTTCCAAGAGGAAAGAAGACAAGTTAATGATACTTAGAGAAGAGTATTCCAAGCAGGGGGGACACAAACTCCCTAGGGCAAGAAAACACCTCCCAGGTTAGCAGCAAGAGAGCCTGGTGAACTTGGAGCCAGACGCTGGTCGAGGCCCCTATGGGCCCTGGGAACACCAGCTTTAAATGGTCAGATAGAGCCATCAAAAGGCTGAGGTAAACATTTGAGTGATAAGTAGGAAAACAAGAAAATGTGTAGTTGTTGAAGAAAGAGAGAGAGAATGTGTCAAGAGCGAAAGTTCATCTGATACTGCCGAGAGAGTAAGAGGTGAGAACCAGCAAGGACATTGGTGACCTGAGCAAACCAGGAGCAGTGGAGTGACTGGGATGGAAGCCGGTGCTGCTGTAGGACGGATGCATTCAAAGGCAGAGACTAGGGTCCGGGAGAGTTTTCTCAAGCACAGCACAGGGTTGTTTTCCCTAAGTGTGGGTGTCCCATGTCACAGACCGGACGACTCTCCTAGTCTTTTTGAGACTAACTCAACAGCCTCTCATGCACTCAGCCAAACATCTGTTTGAACCCCACCACTGTCATCTAAATGACCGCAATGCAGCATTCATCCCATTAGTTCATCTCCGTGAAAGTTGTGTATCACTGTGTCTCTCTGGACAAGTCAGTCTTTCTGGGTAATGTCTCCAAGTGATGAGCTGGGCTACAAGAGAAACCTATTAGCTGTGTCCATGTTTGGGAAAGCATTGCTGTAAGAAACATGAATACTGGATTTAAAGCTGTAATTTGGATGTAAACTGTTTGGTGACTGTTAGCAAATCCTTATTTCTTAAGTTTAGGCCTTTCTTATAGAAAGACTTTCATGAGAAGCCACAAGAAGAGAGAAGCGAGAAGTAAATTCATAATGTACGTCCAATAAAGTCACCGTGGTATGCAGGAGAGTGACGTTAGGACACAGTGGCCTCCAGGCCTTGTTTCCTGTCATATCAACACACACACACATTTTTGCCACCCTGTGTAGACACAGTCTATCAGATGCTGACACTTGGCAACTCAAAACAGATCCAGAGCTGGGTCTGTTTCGTTTCATTTCTGACCAGCCACACCAGCAAGAGTCAGAGCTGTCTGGTAGGCTTTTTGACTGGCTTCACACTCTCTTGCATATTCTATCTGGATTCTGAATATTCTCTTATTTTTTTCAAGTATTTCAAACCCTACAATTCCCACCGCCACTTCCTTCCCAGACTGTGGGCTTTAAGGTTTAATCAGAACATAAACAACTTGAATGTCTCTCTCCTCCCCTCCCTTCTCTCTCTTCTTTCCCCATCCCCTCCTCCCTTATTCCTTCCTCTCCACCTCTGTTCCTCCTTCTTCCCTTTCCCCTCTCCTCCTTTCTCCCTCCTTCTGTGAAGGCCTAGACTTAACTTTACAGGCTCTATCTTAGGAAAGGGCCACCATCTCAGACCACCTGCTGTACTCAGTTCTCGGAAGGACCAGAGCAGTATCCTCCTGCAGACATCCTGTCTGCAGTTTATGACCCTTGAAGAAGATATCTAGATAATCCTACCGAGCAGTCCAGATAATCCTGTTCAGCGGGTTGTGATTCCCTGCCAAAAGTCTAACACAATGGTTTCAAATGTGGTTTCGCGCCCAAAGTCTAGACCAATAGTTTTAAAAAATCACCTTGCCCCATATTCCTTCTACTCAATCCCAAGTTGCCAATTCCTGGCTTGTGGTTTTCCCCTATAAAAACTCTCTTCACCTGGGCTCATGGCCACTGCCACATTTCCTTCCATCTGCTGTGCGGTGGCCCAGGTTGAACCTGAATAAAAGGACCCTCCTTATGTGCTCGCATGGGAGGCTCCTTGGTGGTCTCTGGGAGTTTCACAAAACGGGTACAACACTTCCTTCTCTCCTTTCTCATCCTCTCCCCCAGTACTCTTGTAGCCCAGTCCGGGCCTTGAATTTGTGTGACTCTCAATTGGCTTTGAAGCTGAGCTCTTCCTTCCTCAGTCTCTCAGTGCTGGATTAGAGGTGTGAGCCACCACACCCAGCTCTGGCTCAGCTGGATAGGGAAGCTACTTAAAGCCTTTATGCCTCCATTCCTTCCTTTGTTAGAGGTGATAATACTAATGGTTTAAGGGTATCCTGGATAACAAGTTGCCTCATCTTAACAATGACATCAAAAGAAGACAAAGCACAGATTTTTTTGTGTGTTTGAATCTTTTTTCCATATTTATTTATTTTCTATTATCAGCTTGATCCAGTACAAATTCTTATCCTAATAGTGAAATGTTCCACTAAAGCTTGCCCAGTGATTGAGCAAAACCAAAACTTATTATAAGCCACAGTCATCCTGGGGTCCCCCCTGCTATGTAGCCTCCCTGGTTGTGTGGGTTACAGTCTGATTGTTCTTTCAAAGCACAGATGTTAAATAATCTGCTCAGTCACCCACCATTAGTGTCCAACCAAGATGTGATCCCAGACAATGGGACTCATGATCCAGTGCATTCTAAGGAGCTTTCTCTGTCTTGCCAGTTAGCTGCCATATAATGACACAAAGACTTAGTATTAATTATGAAAGCTTGGCCTTTAGCTTAGGCTTGTTCCTGACTAGCTCTTGTAATTTAAATTAACCCACCTTTTTAATTAATCTATGTTCTACCATGTGGCTTTTATCTCTTTTACCATTTTGTGTGTCTGACTCATTAGACATCTGGTGTCCCTCGTGCACTGAGATTCATCTCCAGTTTCCTCTCTCTGTCTGGAAGTCCTGCCTATCTCTACTGCTTAGCTATTGGCCATTTAGCTCTTTATTAAACCAATCAGAAGGCACCTTAGGCAGAGACACATCTTTGTAATGTATCAAATATTCTACAACATTGTATGGCATTGCAGTGGTGTGCCCTTTCCTGGCATAAATAAATGGTCATGTTCTGCACTGTTCAAGCCCCATGTCAGGATATTCTCAGCATTTCTAAAAATGATATTTTATTTATAAGTGTGCACATGTGCACATGTGGTCACTCGTGTGCCACTGTATGTATGTAGAAGTCAGAGAGAGTCAGTTCTCTCTGCCATGTGGGTCCCAGGGATCAAACTCATATTGCTAGGCTTAGCAGCAAGTGTCTTTACCTCCAGATCCATCTCTTCTTCCATTTGTGGATATGACTCCAGGTGAGTAATGCTCCAACTCTATTGGATCTTTCAATCTTAGTACATAGCCTGATGGCAGTTTAAGCCTGTGATTATCAGACCACTTTCTCAAGAGAGGGAGAATTTGATTGGTCCACGTCATCTTGCACTTAGGCTATATGGCACTGTTCTCCGGGAAGAGATGTTCACCCAGGTTCAACAAGACTTGGACAAAAGATGGCCAGTTCAGGCTCCATATCCTCCATTACTGGGAATCTTCCCTAGGGTCATCCTCATAGGTTCCAGGGAGTTTCTACTGCACTAGGTTCCCACATCACCCCCCAAATGTCCTCCACTTCCAGTTGTCTCTCCCAGTATTCTCTCTCCCTCCATCCTTTCTCCCACCCCACCCTACCCCCTGCCTGATCCCTCCTATTCTCATCCCTACCTGCCCCCAGTCCACCTGAAAAATCTAGTCTATTTTCCCTTCCCAACATCAACACAGCCATGAAACCTTTGACCTATAATTTGTTCTGCATCCAAGATGTGCTGGGGTATTGGTGGCACAGAACTTGTGCCTGGTCCAACTTGAGGCCCATGTCACAAGTGGGATCCCACATCTGGCACTACCTAGATAGCCAAGAACCAGAGGCTGGATAGCCCAGAGACCTAGGATAGAACCAAACACTACTGCCCCCTCCAAAGAAAAAAAATCAATGAAATGATTCCTAATGATATTCTGCTATACTCATAAATAGGAGTCTATCCCAATCATCATCAGACAGGCTTCATTCAGCAACTGATGGAAACAGATGCAGAG